CTCGACTTGAACTACATCTAAAGTTTGTGTTGGTCGCCGCTTCGGAGGTCGCCGCTTTTTCGGATGGCCCAGACTGTCCTTTCCCCATCGATGACGACTAGCTGATAGTTGACACTAGAGCTACTTTATAGTAGCCTTAGTTGACGCAAGTCTTGTCGATGGATAGTAAAAGGAAAGTTTGGGCCATCCGAAAAAGCGGCGACCTAGAATTTCAGGCTGAATCTAAAACTTTGTAGCTTTTCTCCTTGTGTATTTTAAAATATCAAGAATTACGAGGATGACGAAGTTACTTTTATCGTGTCGTACGGGATTTTTATTTTCACGCCAATTTCTTCTATATAGTGCAAATAAATTTTCGATTGATAGTGTAAATGGATCTGGTTCTGAACATAAGCGGAAAACTTGTAAACTTTTGAATGAAGAAAAACTTGATGACAGTATTTTGAAGTTAATTGTTTGTCCTCTGACTAAAAAAAGTTTAAGGTATGATGCAGAACGAAATCTTCTGATAAACGATGAACTATCAATTGGTTTCAAAATTGTTAACGGTATACCCAACTTAATACCAACTGAAGCTGTAACGCTTAACCAACCATCAGCATGAATCCAGTATGTTTCGATCATAAGATTTTTTTGTTATCATGAGTCGAATACTAGTACAAAATTTGTATCGTTAGTTGATGGTTAATTAAGGTTATTATTTCCATGTTTGAGTTTTTGAAATAAATATATTTAAATTGAACTTTGTGTTTTATTAATAAATTACACGCATTATATAATGTTTTAAATAATTTTTGTTGTTGAAAGCCTCTGCTACAACATTATTGTAAGAAGTAAAAGAACTTTATTAAATGACTGTCTCAAATTTCTAGAAATTATACTTTCAGTGTTTAAAGATAAAAAAAGGCTACAAACTGTCCTTGAAGATTTGACATGTTAAAGCTATTATTTTAGACCAGCCATTATCATTAAAAAAGTATGACCAAATTATTATTAAAGCATATGACCAAAATATAATTATTTTTCATTCATTGAAATCTTTGTATGGTCTGTGGTGTCTTATTTATTCTTATACAGTCAAAAGTCGTTAATTCAGACACCCATAATCCGGACCTCAAAGCTACAAACTTTCTGCGCATGCACGTAAGACCTTTACCGCTGCGAATATGCATGTGCGCATGCGCATAATATGTTTACACGTGCGCGTTTAATGTATAACGGATGGTATAAGCTAAGCTAAAATCATCTAAATCAGTTAATGTTGCAGATTGCATTGTTCCTTAATCTTTGAATTGGATCCGGCTTATTATTTTTTGCAGATCGTTAGAGTAATTTTATAAAAGTAAGCTTGAACTTTCGATTATGTCAAATAGAATTTCTGATATATACTTACTAATATGTAAAGGATCTGCAAAGTGAAAGTCGTTTCGAAATCCTTAAACAAAAAGTGGAATTGCGCAAAAATGGATAAAGGGTTTTGTTTCTCTAACCATTCCGAAACCTGTTTATCAATTTCACGTTGCTCTGCGGTGGTGGTGGTGGGGAAATGCAGCGGCGCGCAATGAATTGGAAGTTGATCTCTCAGCACTATCCTTATCTTCAGGGTAAATGTTTTTATTTTATTTGGCTTATAATTCCTTACTAAATGTAGTATTTCATCTCGATGTACTCCGTCTTTGATATGATTTAAATCAAATTCCTCGTCATTATAATCGCTTCCGATAGTGAAAAAGTGACACAGAGGTTATTGAAAACGAAAAAATTTCGATTGACAAATTAGTCGGTACTCTCGACACAGCAATTATAGGACTTGAACAGCGGAACTTTGTAACTAAACAAGAAATTATGTCTGTTTAATGGAATTAAAGAGAAAGTATTATCACATGAAACATTGAAAACTTACATTGAAGGAAATGTTTAATAAGTAAACAAATAATATTAAGTTTTTTCTTTTTGTAAATTTTGATACCCTTTAGATCATAATTGTTCTTTATTTCATAAATTACGGTTTCATATTTTTAATTTTGTAATTTTTGCATGCCATCTTACCAGATTTAAACTGATGATCTATAATCCGGAATCACCGAAATCCTGACGAGTCCGGATTAACGACTTTTGACTGTAGTTTATGTGATTATATGTCTGATATTTGAATTTTTTTTGTTACAGTTAAGCAGTTTCAGGTAAGGAATATTTAATTTAATTTGTTCTGCCCTCTAAGCCCAGTTATGATACTTAACTGTAGTAGCTTAAACTTAAACTGCATGCAAGCAGAATGCACAATCTGAAAATAGCTGGGGGGACAGAATTTTTTTTTTTATGTATGTTTAAAGAAATAAAAAATTTTAATTTGTACTTTCTAAATATTTATCAAAACAAACCTAAGCAGTAATAAGAATATTGCCCCCCCAAAAAAGTTCAAATTTATATTTATTTTCTAATCTGATATCATTAAAGGGGGAAAGTGCAGAATCACCCACTCCTTAGCACATTTTTAAGACTTGTACAAACTTGGTATTCATGTACACATCGACCTAATTTCACTTAAAAAAAATCCCAGAATTGCACAAAAATGACATTGTGCACTCCCTTGACTTTATCCATGTACACGTCGATCTATTTTCACTTAAAAAGGTCAAAGAAAATTGCAAAAATCCAATTCCTCTTATTCTTGTAAAAAGTGCCAAACAAATAAGTGGGCGATTCTGCACTTTGCCCTCATTAAAGAATTTACGTTAAACACGTTATGAAAAGTTGCTAATTTTTAAGAGAACGATTACCATGTAGTATTGTGTGGCTCCAACTTGTCAGCAACTGTGGTAATGACTGCTATGAACTGTAAATTTACACAAACACATACGAAGGGTTTAAAGCCCTTTTTATTCCACTTTAGAAATAACAGCTGTGTTCACTTGACGCTCACAAACTACGCCGTCCTGGCGGTTTAACAAAAACAGAAATGTGAAACTAAAAAATAATGACTGGATGAATAAATAACTAGAGCACTACCTACGATGCTCTGAAATCTTAACTAACCTAACCACGTTCTAGAATACAGCTGAGATTCAGCGAGCTTACCAATTAAGCAGTTGAAAGATTCGGCAAACTGCCGAGATAGGCACACAGGCCGAAATGCGCGGTTCTTAAATTTCTACCTAGCAACCTTCACGTTTGCGATTCAAGAAGCATACATACAATCTCGTATCCCTTCTATTTAAACTCAACTTACTTCTGCTAAATTTGAATATACTGCATGCTCTACTACAATTTACATACTCTAGCATTGGCAATTCTAGGGGAAAGTAAAGGCTTGACAGGAAAGATAACTTAAAATAAATGTTAGTTAAAATAAATATAAACCCTACAACCAAGTAGAACAAAACTGAGAATAAATTATGACAGCATTTCTTATTATAGCTTGGCATTTCATGGTTTTTCGATTCTCATAAAGTTTATATCCTGGGAGAGAAACTGATAGAATTATCTTCATCGTGAATTGAATATGTTGATCAGTGAATTGAGTTATTTTCTTATTAATTCTCAGCTGTGAAAAAAAGCTATTTACATGTTTATTCTCAGACAACCTGATTATTCTTGGTACAAAAATCTGTAACTGAGCTTATTTATTTTTTGACAAGTATGAATAAATATTAATCAAATCTGTTACCTTCAAAAGGGGGTACATGGACACAGAGTTTGTGTAGTTCTTTGACTTGTTATTTTGGCTTAGTGGTGTAGTGTAGTGGCGAATTTTGTGTCAAAAATCGCACCAAAAAAAAAGTCAAAAAATTGCACAAACTTGGTATCCATGCACACATCGACCTATTTTCACTTAAAAAAAATCAGAGAATTGCACAAACTTGGCATTATGCACTCCCTTGACTTAGTCCATGTACACATCAATCTATTTTCACTTAGAAAGTCAAAGGAGTAGCCAATTCTATACTAGAGTCAAACAAAAACTATATAATCTCAATAAACATTTTAATGAAATAATATAAAAAAGGAAGTTCATTGTAGGGCTACATACAGGAAATTTAGAAATTTCCGTGCCTTCAGTCAAACAAAATTCCTTAACAGCAGCCAAAAACGTCCTAAAATTATCTGAACAAGAATCTATACTGGCGTCGCTACATAAATTCACAAAAACAAGAGTCGGAAATATCCTCCGTAGTGCCGATATCCTCTGACGTTCGACTGTATGCATTTCCTTCCTACAAACAGGACACTTATAATAGCTACAAAGTAAACCTTCATTTACACACCAGTCAATTGTTGCTTTTTTCCCTTTTGTTCAAATTGTACAGAGATTCAAATTAATCTTACCACATTCAGCGATTTTACCGTGTAAACACAAAATAACCAAAGTACTTCCTAACTAACATCCAACACAAATCTTTTCCCATCATTCAAATTCACTGCAATCACACAACCAATTATGTCATAATAGGGTTGCCGTAGCATTCAACTACTCAGGTTACCATAGCAATAAAGGAAACAACAACTTAGTGATAATCCAAAGGCGCACACTTAAATATACTCTAACTGGTATATTAAGTGTGTTTGTTGATATCACATTATAAATTAAATAGCTACATTTGTCATGTTAATCATATTTTTTTTAATGGAAATGAAAGTAATATAAGCTTGAATTTCAAATAATTAAAATCTTTGCCATAACTACATAGCTGAAATAATGTCTTTGTGGGCTGCCAGTTACCTCTTTTTTACTCTAACACAAATAGTAATTTTTGCCAATTTGTAATGGAACTTTTTTACTCTGTGTTCTGTATCTGAAAATTTAATCAATTTTTTATAAGAAATTGAAAGAAATACTAATTGTATTATACTGAAGATTATTTTTAAATTGGAAAAATTATCACTTTTTCAGTAAAGTGTAAATAAATGAAAAATTTATCTTAAACATCATCTGAAAAATTGAAATAATGACTGTTAAAATAATTGTTCTATTCAGGAACTATGTTTCAAGAAAATATTACCATTTATTTAAAAAGAAGCTTAATTTCTAGTTAGCATGTAGATTATATTTTACATCATTATAACTTAATTTGATGTTGTTTATGAAAAATACGTTTACACATGCACGTTTAATGTATAATGGACGGTATAAGCTAAGCTAAAATTATCTAATTACTATTTCAGTTAATGTTGCAGATTGCGTTGTTCATAAATCTTCGAATTGAACCCGGCTTATTATTTTTTTCAGACTGTTAGAGCAATTTTATAAAAATAAGCTTGAACTTTTGATTATGTCAAATAGAATTTCCGATATATATTTACGGTACTATTCGGTTTCGAGGGCTGTAAACAATTGAATTTTTGTCAATTTTCTTTCACTTTTTACGTGAAAATAGGTCGATGTATGCATAGATGAAGTGAAGGGTGTGTGCAGTGCCATTTTTGTGCAATTCCAGGAATTTTTTTAAAGTGAAAATAGGTCGATGTGCACATGGATACTGAGTATGTGCAATTCTTAAAATGGCATCAAGCAGTGGGTGATTCTGCACTTTACCCAAAATTCGATTGCCAACTTTTCGTCATGGGCAATTCCCAAATTTTTACATCCATAGGATATCAAAAAAGGATTTAAAATTTAAACTAGTATGTCAGTGGCGTCTTAAGAAATATAGAACTATGTAAACCTCAATCTGAAATCAACGCGTACGCTAGATTTGGCGTGCTGTTAAATGGGCGCGTTTGCTAGATTTGGCGCTTTTGCGCATACATTTTCGCTGCAATTTTTTTACGGCCCTCGAAACCGAATAGTACCATATTTATTTACCAATATCTAAAGGATCTACAAAGCGAAAGTATGTTTCGATGTCCACCAAACAAAAAGTGGAATTCCTGCTAAAAATGGACAAAGGCATATCCTTTGTTTCTCTAACCATTCCAAAATCTATTTATCAATTTCACACTGCTCTGCAGGGGGGGGGGAGGACGTCGCGGCACGCAATGAACTGGAAGTTGATCTGTCAGCACTATCCTAATCTTCAGGGCAGATGTTTTTATTTTATTCAGCTTATAAATCCTTACTAAATGTAGTATTTCATCTCAACGTATTCCGTCTTTGATATGATTTAAACCAAATTCCTCGTCATTATAAATATCACGAGTACACATCAAATAGTTTTCTGGTTGCAATTTTCTAATTTCGACTATGCGTAATGTAGCATTACGCACGTGCACGTTGAAAGAAATGTTTAATAAAGTAAACAAATAAATATTAAGCTTTTTTTTTTTTTTTTTGTAAATTTTGATACCCTTTAGATCATAGTTGCTCTTTATTTCATAAATTATGGTTTCATATTTTTAATTTTATAATTTCTGCATGCCATCTTACCAGATTTAAAATGATGATCTATAATCCGGAATCGCCGAAGTCCCGACGAGTCTGGATTAAAGACTTTTGACTGTATTCATTGAAATAAATAATAATTATTTATTGATATAAAGCTATATTCTAAAATAGTCATATTCAAAACATGTGGAGTTTTGGAATTTAAAAGTCATTCAAAAGAAACATTCCAAAATAAAAGCTGTTAGTGAACGAACATTATTGCCTTTTTTTTCTTCTTACCTAGCAGAGGCAATCTTTAGTCAAATCAATAATTTATTACAGAAAACAAAAAACTAGTTGAATATTTTTGAACAAGGTGATTTAAGCATTAAGTAACTTCACAATAAATATTTTAAAAAACTGTACACATCAAGTGCAGCATTAGTTATAACTGAACTTTTGTGCAATCAAAATTTGTGTTCATTTTCTGAAAACTTTTTATATTTATAAAATTACATATAATAATTTTAAAAAATTCATAAAACATAGATCTAATGAACTGCTTTTTTTTTTTTTTCCAAAACTTTGTTCATATTCTTAATCTAATTTTTGTTATTGTTTAAATTATATATTCATATTGTACAGACAAATTTAAAGAGGTTGAAGAAGAAAAGCATTCTTTTAAAAGGTGTCAACCAAGAAAAAAGTTAGGAATCTCTGTTTTAAAGGAAGGAAAAAATCTTGAAATGTATTTACATTACATTTATTCTTGTATTAATTTTTATATCATTTGCTTTTCTCTTTAATTTTGTTCAAAATTTTCCCTTTAAAATTTCTATGTTTATTATTATTAATTTTTATATATATTTTTTAATTAAATTATTTCAAATGTATGCTCTTGAATATCTTTTTATAAAATATTGTTCTTTTCAATTTAGAAATTAAGACCTGTTTGTTTAAAGATATGAGATTCATATCATATATTTTTAATCAATCATATTGACAATTTGTTCACTGAATATATCATTTATTTTTGTTACCATATTAATAATAAAATATTAAATATATTTTGGTTAGTTGCTCGAATATCAAGGCCTAATTAAAACAATATCAAAAGATTTAAAAATATAAAAAAAACAAACACTTATTATTGTTAATTAAATAAAAATTAAATACAGTCAAAAGTCGTTAATCCGGACTCGTCGGGACTTCGGCGATTCCGGATTATCGATTTTTCCGGATTATAGATCATCAGTTTAAATCTCGTAAGATGGCATGCAGAAATTCTAAAATTAAAAATATGAAACCATAATTTATGAAATAAAGAGCAATTATGATCTAAAGGGTATCAAAATTTACAAAAAAAAAAAAAAAAAAAAAAGCTTAATATTTATTTGTTTACTTTATTAAACATTTCTTTCAATGTAAGTTGTTTAAGTTGCTTCGTTTTATGTGATAATACTTTCTCTTTAATTCTATAAACAGACATAATTTCTTGTTCAGTTACAAAGTTCCGCTGTTCAAGTCCTGTTAATTGCTGTGCCGAGAATACCGACTAACTTGTCAATCGAAATTTTTTCGTTTTCACTAACCTCTCTGTCACATTCTTCATGTCTTTATCCATTTTTTTGCAGCAATTCCACTTTTGTTTGTTGGACATCGAAACATACTTTCGTTTTGTAGATCCTTTGCAAGTTCCAGCATCGGAAATTCTATTTGACATAATCGAAAGTTCAAGTTTACTTTTATAAAATTGCTCTTACAGTCTGCAAAAAATAATAAGCGGGATCCAATTCGAAGATTAAGGAACAACGCAATCATTAACATTAACTGAAATAGATAATTAGATAATTTTAGCTTACACCGTCCGTTATACATTAAACGCGCAGGCGAAAACGTATTCTGCACTTGCGCACACGCATATGCGCAGTAGTCAAGGTCCTACGCGCACGCGTAACGCCTGTGCGCACGTGCCAAAGCGGCGCATACGCAGAAAAGTTTTTAGCTTTGAGGTCCGGATTATGGATGTCCGAATTAACGATTTTTGACTGTAGCTGATTACATTGCTGTCTATCTTGCAAAGGATTGACATTGTAGAGTACTTATTCAATGTGCTCATATTTACATTAGCATTTATGGAGAGATATGGACCTTAGAAACATCCATGAAATCAGCCTACTTTGCCATGAAAAATCAAACTCCAAAAGCAATTACCAGTACTCAAAACATTTAAAGATGAAAGTCTATTTTAAAATAGAGCATAATTTTAGTCTTAGAACTTCATTGGAAATTTTATGTGGTTTATTTGCTATTTAATGATATTCCAGCACAAAATTTACTAGTATTAACTTGAATTTATTCAATGTGTATACTCATGATATTACATATAAAATAATACATCAAATTAAATATTTTTACTAAATATGATTATACTATTTTAATTCTGCTTATTTGGGAGCTGTTACTGTTGCCACGTGAATAAGAATTTAATTACTTTAATTTTTATAAATTATATTCAATTTATTTATCTACCTATGTCATTTCTGTGAAATTTTCTGACAAGAAATACAGTATTCAGTAATACAGGAAGTGAAAAAGTTAATATAAGATTAAAATTATTATAGCAGACAGATTCTAAGATGAATAAATGATATCAGATTTGTTTGTTAAATAGCAAAATTTGCTTTTGTAACTTTTAGCACTTGACTTCATTGGTTATAATAATGTGCATTTGAAAGTTGTTCAGTTATATTTGAAATCTAAAATTAAAATTTAATTAGTCATTCCAGATATTTTGTAGCTCATTAAAGCATATTGTATATCCATCAGTATTTATCTTTTCCTTGTTACTAAATTAAAAACCATTTACTGTATATTTAAAAATTTTTACTCAAGTTAATTTGCTGAAGTGAAATTAATTTAATTATATACAAGAACTTTTTATACATTATAAGATAAGATTTTGTAGGAAGGTTTGAAATAAGTTTTGTAAAGAAATAGTATATGTAACTTTCCATGTTATCCATATTGATAATTAGAACAGGGATTCCCAACCCTTTTCTTGCATTGACCATTTAAAAAATTTTTTTTCTCCGTCAACCCCCTTGTATTTTCTCTATAATACAACATACTCGTAATGTAAATAATTGCAAATAAATAACTTAATAGCAACTATGTTAAGAATATGAACAAATGTTTTGAAAATAGTCATTTCTTAAATTTATGTTTTATTATTTTACAGCTATTATTGTTTTTGATTTAAAAAATATGAACAAATTTTCAGAAACAAAATTACAGAGTATAATGTGCAGAATGTCTGCACTTGATAAATTGATTCATTTATTTATTAATTATTTTTTTAATATTTGGCCTAAATTATCAAAGTAATGGAGAAGTAAGTTATCAAAGTAATTTTTATTCAAGGTTTATACAAGCAAGTCAATTTTAGAATGAAAACTGAAGATAATAGTTCTGGATAGATATGAATTTATCTTCCTTGCAGTTACTTTTGTGTGGCATTGAACAATGAATATAATCAGCCAAGTAGAATATATGTTTGTTGAATTTTATTAATTGTGTCCTCATAGCATTGTCAGCTTCAAAAACAAATTCTATCATGATATTAAAAATATCTATAGAACATTGCAAACATTAACCCCCAAATTTCTTCAAAAGCAGAATGATATTTTTCCCTCTTGATTTAGACCATTGATTCTCA